TGGCAAAGTGGTGAAAGCGCGTTCCCGGGGGCGCGCCTTCTATTATTTTGTCAGAGAATATGTTATCATTGCCCTATTTTGTCACTCATGTCCCCCGGGGAACTATAGATGGATGGTAAAATCAGGTAAATTATAACCAAAATTTAAGTTTTTTGGAAGTTCAACAAGTTAAGGAAAAAATTATATATGGATAAATTTAAGTTCATAACTTAAATTAAAACGTTATGTGAAGTTTGAATAAATTGGATAAAATGTTATGAATAAATTGAATAAATGTGAAGTGATCAATTGGTTGTTTGAATATATTGAATAAAATGTTATGGATAAATTGAATAAATGTAAAGTGATAAGTTGGTTGTGACATTGAAATTGTATGGAATGAGCATCGACATGTTTTTACGAATAAATATGAAGTGATAAGTTGGTTTTAATGTGTATATTTTAATGTATATGTTAAGGATAAAATCATACATATGGATAAATTTAATTTAAATTTAAGTAATGTGAACTATAATTGGATTATAACTTTTAATTTTGAATACAATTGGAATATTAAGTTGAATTTAATGTTAAATTTCGAATACCATAATTTGTATTTTAATTTTAAATTTTGAATACTATAATTTGTATATTAAAACATTTAATTTTAAATTTGAATAAAAATAACATTAAAAATATTGTTCTAACAACCATGAAACATTTAAATAACATAACCAAATTACATAAATTTATGAAATATAACTATTTAAATAACAGTAAAATACAACTGGATCACCGATGTCGTCTTCTCAAATGAGTTCCACATGGCGGTGGTTGTCTATTTCGTTGAGGATTTCTTCGTGGAACTTGTTCTTCAGTCTCCTTATCTTCACTATCATCATCATCATCGACATTTTCTTCGGCTGGTGTTGTAGATGACGATGAAGGGCTTGTATAAAATAACGACCCTGGAGGAGTGCTACTAACAATCCCACCGCTCATAGAAAATTGAGAAAAGTGTGAAAACATTGGCATCGATGTCTGTTATCCAGATGGAGATTGAGGTGTTTGTGGAGAAGGACCACCAGCCAAATAAGATGCATATGAACCATATGCTGGATCATTAAACATAGCTGTATATGCACTCCATATGATGTCATAAAACCCTGCGGGCTAGGCATGTAACCTGGAAGGCTAGGAATGTAACCCTGCAGAGATGGCATATAAACTGGTGGGCTTGGCATATACCCCTGAGAAGATGACATCTAAACCGGATGGCTGGGCATCATCATTGGTGGATAGGGATGTTGTGGTGGGACTGATGCAGAACCGGTAGCGCCTTCTCTCCGTCCACGAGTCGGCGGATGATGATATTGAGACGGTGGACGTCTCTCTCGGCGCCTAGGAATGTTAACCCCTCGTGCTACCGCCGAAAGTAGAAACGACTTTCCATTTTCATTAAACAAGTCCATATAGTTATCCGTAACCATACGACTAGTTTCAGCGTAAAATTGTCGAGGGGCCAACTGTGCATACCGGTTCTCCCAAAGCGCAATCCAATCTTTGTGTCTCACCACCCATTTAACCTCTTTCTTGCCTCGTCTATCGATGTTATGCATGTCGTCTAAATTCCTAGGTGTTCCAGGAATATATTACATACAACCAAACTGACAGAGCACGCGATCAACTAGATGCCACTCAATAATAGTATAACAAATAAGAGGTACAATTGACATCCAAACCTCTAATGACCCACTCAGGTGGGGTGGGATGCAAGCCTTTACTTCATTGCTCGCATAAGGTATCCACTAAAACTGAAATATAAATATACAATTCAAATAAATATAATATTCTAATTATATCTAACATTTTAAATTAAAATATTCATATTTAAACAGATTTCAAAACATACCTCAGACCCAGCTTTTGTATCAATAAGTAAACGGATTTCCTCTAGTCCAGTAGATATATCTCTATGGTTCTTTCTTTTCATCGACCACCTATGAAATATAATATAAACTAAATATCATCATATGTAATTAAAAATATTTAAATCAAAATTTAGTTAAAAAATTACCTCAATAATAAGGGGAATACGTATGGTTCATTGACGATCGGGCATAAGAAAGGTATGCGGAACCACGCCCATGATTGCAGAAGCAGGAGACATCCACCGATAGCAGTTTTCTTATAATTTGTCGCACGACACATTTCTCTAAAGAGAAATGCCAAAACTGCAGCGCCCCAATTATATCTTCCAGCTTCATCAAAATCAATCAGATGCCGCAACCACATACAATGCACCTGGTTGCGAGATTTGTCGGGCATCAATATTCCTTCAATGATTCGTAGAATATAAGCCCGAGCACATGCCTTTACTTCATCATCTGAAACATTTTCATTCAGAACTTTAAAATTAGCTTTCAACCGTGATAAAGCTATTCTACCTCCATTAAACTCTGGCGGAGCAGCTCCAAGATACTCCATGCACATTGATTGCCAATCACCATCCGCCATACCACACATAATATTCTCATCGACGAGAAGCACTAGATGCATAGAGATATCATCCAATGTAATTGTAGCATCTCCACATGGAAGATGAATTGTGTGTGTCTTGGGCCTCCACCTCTCAATCAATGCAGAAATTAGGACATGTTTGAGTTTGCAACCACCAATAATTGTTGCAATATACCCGAACAAATATGACAAAATACGTTGCGGTGTCGTTATACGTGGGTTTTTAATAAAAGTCTCTAAAATATGATTAGTTTCCTAAATAATATGCATTATAAAAATTTATAATTAATATAAATTCATTATAAATTTAAATTAAAAATAATAATAAATATTAACATTAATTATAAAAAAATATTATCATATCACTAAAATGTCTGGAGATATGGTTTGCATCCAATCGCAGCAGCATTTCACTTTCTATTATAATTGTAGACAAAAAAATATAATTAGCACAAAAAATAATTAATTAATAAATTTAAATAAATAATAATTATATAAATATTATTTTAATAAAAAAATAATATTTATATAATTATATTACTATAAAATATAAAAACTATTTAAAAAATACTAACTTAAAAATAAATTTCTTACCACTAATAAGAAATTTAAAACTCAAATAGTTGGAGAATTTGAGTTATATAAGAGATGAGAAGATGATTTTGGTATGAAGAATGAGAGGGGGTTGAGGGGGTTTATATAAGGGAGTAGGAGGGGTAGTTGGGGGGAGGGGAACAAATGGGCAATTATAACATTTAATGGAAGGCGCGTCCCCGGGGATGCGCCTTACCCCGTGGCATCTGACTCAGTAGAACCCTGTGAAAGCACGTCCCCGGGGATGCGCCTTACACGCTTGCCATCCCAGTCAGCATAAACTCAGGTAAAGCGCGTTCCCGAGGATACGCCTTTGTGCCACCTCAGCCGAAAAAGTGTTACTCCGAGAAGATTGGTCAAAGGGTGTTACAGAGGAAATATTACGACGAAAAGATATCAGTTTAGTCAAATCGCCAATTATCAGAGTCCAAAGCGATGGCATAGTAATTTTTCATAAGATAGGAGGAATTATGCTGATGGAACTTACAGATATCGAGACCTCCACTTTTCTTGGGTTGAGCTAAGGCAACCCGATTAACAAAAGGTGTACCTCGAGAACTATCAATGGAGTTTCAAATAAATTGGTGAACCAATTTTTCAATGTCATTGCAAATACTTGGAGGAAGACGGCAAGTCTACATAAAATACGAAGGGATAGCCATTAGAACAAAATTGGCTAGAGTGGTTTTCCCAACAAAAGAGAGTGTGCGTGAACACCACCCTTGAAGCTTCTTTCTTATTTTATCAAGAATAAAGTTATAAATCTGAGTGGTTCGCTTGTGCACACCGACATGCCAAGATAGACTCCCAAGTCTGGGACATAGTTAATCTCAAGACGAGAGCTAATAGTAACGAAATTTCATTGTTACAATAAATACTATACAATGGTAACGAACATAATTTTATCACAATATACTTTACATGACACGGTTGTTCTAACAAATATGGTAACAAATAAATTTGGTCAGAATAAATATATCGTGACAAATTTAATACTTTTAGTGATAAATACTTTTGTTGAAACAATCGAAATTTCTTATAGTGCGACTTTATCTTTCCTCATTTTCATGGAATGAATGATCTTCCGATTGATTATTATGTTTTATGTGGTGCTTCTTTCATGAATGAAACCAGTATGGTTTGAGGCAACGAGACGAGACGTGATGTGTTTGAGGCGATTAACAAGAATCTTCGTGACAAGCTTGTACAAGACTGTACAAAGACTTATAGGCTGAAAGGTTGAGGGGCTAGGAACCTTGGGTATAAGCGCAAGAATTGTTTTATTTAATAAAGGATCAATATCATGCCTAGAGAAGATCTTACGGATGGTGCAGCAAACCGAATCACCAACAATGTTCCAGTGCTTTTGATAGAAATGAGCGTGTAAGCCATCCACTCCCAGGGATTTGAGCGGAGCCATATCAAAAAGAGCCTTCTTGTGTAAGTTACCTTCTTTTCAAGCGTTCCTCATTTTTCATAATATATTTACGTTGGTGTAATTAAGTTCGAGGAAGAAAAGATTTATTTACGTCGGTGTTTTCTTCATTTAAATTTATTTAAACAGTTGTATGTTAGAAAAAGTGGTGAACAACGAGTTAAAAATGATTTCTCTAGCTAGTCGTTTTACATAATTTAATATTTTTTTATTAATTTATAATTAGTTTTGGATTACTTTACTTGAATCAAACACTAAAAATAAAGAAAATATGTTTAAGTCTTAAATTAACCACAGAATCTGATAAAATGGGCTGTCTTAATTTTATTTGGCAACCTCATAATTAATATTTGATAAACATTAAATAAATAAAATATAGCGTCACATGGAACTCGTTGCAGCAAACTCTGTTTCTGGTCTCCTCTTCTTTAAACTTAAAAACGTTGCACTCTCCTGCAATCTCCTGACAAACCAAACCACCATACATGGCGGCGGCTTCACTCTCAGCCACCGTTCCGACGAAGAACTCATTTTTATCAAAGGGCACCGGTTTTATTCACTTTACTTCGAGACGAAGCAGCATTATGAATAACGATATCGGGTTCAAAGCTAAGGAGTTAGCTTTTGAATTCTCGAGCTCAAAGGCCTTTTATGTGCCCTTTGCCAATACTGATAAACCCAATGCAGCACCGCCTCTCACGGAGACTTTCTGCCCGGCCTCTGCTTCCAGGTTGGTGCTCACAATTTTCTTCTCAATCCTTTACTGTTTCATTCCATGGCTTTGCTGTTGCTTTTTTTTTTTTTTGGGATAAATCATCAATTTTCATTACCCCAGTAACCAGTCTGTTACAAGAACAGAACCTGCTACAAACAGCAGTGTTCTGTTATAGAAGAGTTGCATTTATTTTGTAATTAGAGCTTGAGCTTGTTTTATCCTTGTTCAATAGCTAGATCTTGTCGCAAGTCTGAAAATTTCAAATTCTCATAAAGTTTATATATTTTCTTTGTTATTTATATTAGTGATCTAATTTTAAAGTTTTTTAATATAACTTTCTAGTTCGGTATTTTTTACATAAATTCATGCATCCGTGTGAAATTGTATTGTGTTGTGTCAGGTTGAAAGGCCATACGATTTCAGTGTTCGTTGGGGACGAGAGTGGAATCATAAACAGGATAGCAGGGGTGTTTGCCCGAAGAGGTTACAACATAGAGTCCCTCGCTGTTGGCCTCAACGAGGACAAGGCTCTGTTTACCATCACCGTCTCCGGGACCGAAAAGGTTCTCAGACAAGTAGTTGAGCAACTTAACAAGCTTGTCAATGTCATCAAGGTCATAAAGTTCAACCTTTTAACTCATTTCAGTATGTTTGTGTTGCTGTAAACATATTTACCTTGTTTATCAGGTAGATGATATCTCAATGGAGCCACATGTAGAACGCGAATTAATGCTCATGAAACTCAACACCGATCCAACCACTCGTGCAGAGGTATTGTGTTGTTTGGAGCATCTGGTTTTTCTTACTATTCGAACATCTAAAATTATCCACTCAAGTCAACTAATTTTTTTGTGGCAACTTGATGGAAACTGTCCCCTTAAAGGGTTATTGGAAACTTTGATTTCAGTTCTACTTCCTTTTTGTACATCTGGGCATTCGGTCTCTAATCTGTACTATGCTTTTTAGATCATGTGGCTAGTAGACATCTTCAGAGCAAGCATTGTCGATACTTCAGAGCACTTCTTGACTATTGAGGTGATTTTTTTATCTTCTAATATTTCATCATTAATTTTATTTGTATATGCATGATTTTGGCAATTAGGCGAATTTACTTTTAAACATCTTTACAAATGTTAAAGTGACATTATGACTTTAAAGATGTAGTTTAAGAGAGAGAGTTCACAGAATATCGAATTTTAGTGTCCATATGGTGCAAGTTGTAGCATTCTATATAGGTAATGCTATATAGCTTTCTTGTTCGTCTATTATTTTATTGCATATGCACATCTCAGGTTACTGGAGACCCTGGAAAGATGGCAGCTGTTCAAAGAAATTTCAGCAGGTTTGGGATAAAAGAACTTTCGAGGACCGGGAAGGTACGAAATTCTTGCAAACTTGTATCATTATTTTCCTTGAAGTACAAAATGGTTTGTGTTTGAGATTCAATAGAAACTTTGATATTAGCATTTTAGAGTATGATTGGAATAAATGGACCTGACCATTGTGATATGTGACATAAGCCCTTGTTGAATTATGCATGAAAGAAACATTAAGTGGCATTATCAACTACTATAAAGTCTTCGGTTTTCTGTGATTTTAAATTCAAGTTGGGTCGTTCCACTATTTCCAATTGATTTTAAGTCCGATGCCTAACACCCAGATTACTCTAGTGTCATTCTTTTCAGTACTTACTGTGGATTTAATGTGAAAGTTCCATTGAATTATACTAATGTACAAAGATGGACCTGAGGTCTACCAAGCTATCAAATCATTATGTTCACTAAGGCTTGAACATGTCATCATGATAGATTGCTCTGAGGCGTGAGAAGATGGGGGAGACTGCTCCTTTTTGGGGATTTTCTGCTGCATCTTATCCAGATCTTGAAGATAGATCAACTAATGGTGCGGTAAGGGATGCAAAACTGCTAGTTAATGGTAATGTCAATACATACTCAAAGGTATGCACTTTTTTCTTCTACTATGAAATTTAATCATTACTTTTTCCAATCAAGTTGGGTTTTGCTCGCCCATCGCGATCGTGCTATCCAAGTTTGGTGTTTACCTTACCCAATGAAAAAGTAGAGAAGTATTTAAACCCTGTAGAATAAGATGATAGGTAAATCTACCCCATAATATGGCATACACATGATAATATATGATAAAAATTATTCTATCCTACTCTTAGATTTGTGCAGTCCAAACATAGGATGGGATGAGATGATATTTATCTCCAATCCACTTTCTTATCTTATTTTATCCTCTCCTCTCCATTTTGTTATGCACCATAGACACTCTAAAGTCAGAGAATGGAACCCTATCCGAGCTTTACCAAAGAATGAATACAGCTTGGAGTTGGATTATGGTTATGTTTTCTTGCACATTGAACAGAAACAAATGAAGTTGGGAAATTGGAGAAGTGACATTTACAAGATGTTGGTTTACTGAATATTTTCTAATTTATGTTTCCTAAGTCCCATCCGTGGATAAATCCAAAAGTTGCAAGCAGATTTGAATAGCATGGTCCATGTCTTTTGCTGAATCTGCATTATGAATGTTCTACACTCTTTATATATGACATTTTTGTACTTCCTCCATGCATCAAGTCTTAGGACATTGGAGAATCTCTCAAGTTTTTATTTGTTGCATGAAGGATGATGTATATCCCGTGGAACCTTTTGACAGCATCCCGGTAAATCAAGTTCTCGATGCTCATTGGGGGGTTCTCTATGATGAAGATGTAAGATACTTTTCTTTTTCTCCGATAGCTCTTTACATTATACCAATAATCTATTCCTCCTAGCCAGTCATTTGTCCTTGGTGATGTGAAGCAGCTTGTGGGTTATACATTTTTTGTACCATGACATGGTTAGTTTTGTTATTGTTTCTTGGTTATTAGCCATATATATGTTCTGTCCATTAGTTGCAAATTAAGCTTTTCATTTATCATTCACGGTGTTATTTCAATATTATAAGCCTGCTTTGTCTCGACCTTATCCTCATTTTTGATATCTAAATGGGTTATTCCATTGATCTTTATTGTTAGTTGATCGTTTTCTTGAACTATATTGGTAGCATTCACTTGCTGCTGTATTGAAATGCTTGTACCTTCATTTCTCATGTGTGTTTCATTCAATGTTTCAGTCAACCGGGCTTCGGTCGCACACTTTATCTATGACCGTGAACGACACTCCCGGAGTTCTAAATGTGGTTACTGGGGTTATTTCCCGAAGAGGCTATAATATTCAGGTCAGCTTGGTTTTGCTTCATGCTGCATTTTCTATGCCTTGTGTTTTTGCCGGGTAGCTCATGCAAGACTTATCGCAGAGTCTAGCTATGGGACCTGCTGAAAAAGACGGTCTTTCTCGCATTACAACTGTTGTTCCAGGAACTGATGAGCAAATAGGAAAATTGGTTCAGCAACTCCAGAAGTTAGTGGATCTTTACGAGGTGAGGGGCATATGATAAGAATTTTAAAATTCAGAGAATTCAGTTCGAGTAATCAAATATATCTGGAATGAATCTTTGAGGTAAAGAAACCAAGAAAAATGGAAAACAAAATAGCATTTAAACAACTCTCCTTTTTGTAAAACTAAATCTTTTATTATCTTTGAGCTTCATGTTGATAATATTTATGGAAAGTGTTAGTCTTGCTAAACTGCAGTTAGATGGTTCATATATAATTATGGATATATTCTAAATTGCAGTACTGGGTTTCTCTAATTCCGACTTTATAATCTGAATCAGCAAATAGCTTATCTCAATAATGTGATTCAGGTGCAGGATATGACACACTTACCATTTGCAGAGCGAGAGTTAATGTTGATAAAAGTTGCTACGAACTCTGCTGCTCGACGGGACGTCCTTGACATTGCAAGCATATTCCGAGCTAAAGTTGTTGATGTGTCTGATCACACAATTACTCTTGAGGTCAAATCTTGTTCTGCCTAAATTCACCTTCATGCATTTGATGAATTGCTGTCTTCACCTGCTATATAAAATGTTCAGAATCTATAGTTTGATGATTATTAGGCTTTTATAAGGATTATGTGTTATTTGGCCTTTTTTCCAGAATCATTGTGTCGATAAAGGAATTTAGGATTATGTTTTATTTGCCTTCTTCCTTTAATTTCTATCACCATCATCTAAGGTAGTCAAGTCCTTCTCTCTGCAGCTGACAGGTGATTTCCACAAGATGGTTGGTCTTCAGGGATTATTAGAGCCCTTTGGAATTTGTGAGGTTTGTTGCTTAAGTTTCTTCACAAGTTCTATAACTAGTTTATATCTATTATGTACAACCAGAGAAGAGGAAATTAGTTATATGGCTCTTCAACATTTGTTTATTTAGTTATTTCGTTTAATGTGTTGAAGGTGGCTCGGACCGGAAGAGTGGCACTGGTGCGAGAGTCGGGTGTGGATTCAATGTATCTCCGTGGATATTCTCTTCCTTTCTAGTTTACATTTCCTCATAGCTGCTGGTCCTGGCAAAGGCAAGTAAGGTCTGGAGTATCATTATACATATATATAAAGATCTTTGATGTAATCTTTACTCTGAGATTTCGATGCAAATCGATCTGTGTTGGTCATCTTTGCTTCTGAGAACAATAATTAAACTGTAAAGCATATCAGATGGATGAAAAGAATGCAGAAACAGTCTAAAACTCAATCATAAAACAAACAACTTTGGGACTGATGACTGATCGTCCCCATGGATCCATGCATGTGTTCTGTAGCTTTCATTTTTCTAGATCGAAACCATTTCCAAGTAAAGATTTATCGATCATCTTTGAAGAAAATGCTTGCAAGCTGATTGATCTATTCTACTAAACTAATACAAACTCATTAAGCAACAACATTTTAGTCTTTGGCTACACATATGACCTGCTTGCCGATATTTCTTCCAGAAAATAGTCCAACAAAAGCAGCTGGAGCTGTTTCTAAACCTTCATTCATATCTTCAATGTACACAATCTTCCCATGTTTAAAGTTCTCGGTGACATGTTCCAAGAACTGTGGGAACTTCTGCAAGTAATCGCTTTGCAAAAATCCTTGCATCCTGATGCGCTTGGGTACAACACAATACAAATTGTGGATTCCTTTCGTATCAGAGATACTATGTAATGACACCATTCCACAGACGGCTATACGTCCATGGATCCGCATGTTGAGCAAAGCAGCGTCCAAAATGGCACCGCCTACATTGTCGAAGTAGATATCGATGCCTTCGGGGAAGTATCTGTGCAGAGTTTTTATCCAACAAATGAATATTGGGCAAATGCAGCAACGCTATTCAAGTGCATCAAATTATAATTCGAGAAGCTGTACTACTGACCTTTTCAGAGCGGCATCTAGGTCTGTCTCCTCTTTGTAGTTAAAGGCTTCATCGAATCCAAGCTTGTTCTTTAGAAGATCAACCTATATGCCGAACTAATTCTTTCTTGTATTAGTTGTTGTATTTTCAAATGCTGCTCGCACTTTCGTACAAGAAACATACCTTTTGGCTACTTCCGGCACTTCCAACTACATAGCAGCCATGTAGCTTGGCAAGTTGTCCAACAAGCTGGCCAACAGCCCCTGAAGCCGCAGATACGAAAACATATTCTCCATTCTTCGGGCTGCAGATTTCGTAAAATCCGGCATAAGCCGTAAAACCTGGCATACCTGCATTCAACCTCTAACTCAGTAACGAATTTAAACATCATTAAGATAAATATGTCATTTGTCTTATAATGACCTACTTGGTTTGCAAGACATAAGTTCCAGGCAACATAACTAAAGTTTTTTTATTAATCTAATTTGTCAATAAAAACGATGAAATAGCAAGTACCAAGAAGTCCGAGATGGTAAGAGAGGGGGATAGAATGGTCGGGTTGGATCTTTCTGAGCTGCCAAGTGCTGCGGATCAAGCTGTACTCTTCCCAACCAGTGAGTCCCGAAATGAAATCTCCAGGCTTGAAATCTGGGTTATCAGAATCCAACACTTTCGCCACTCCAAATCCTTCAATGGCCTTCCACCCATCATCATCAGAAACGAAAACACATCCGTTATTTAGCTAAAAACATAAATATCCGATGGAGTAGGAGAGAGAATACCTGAGAAAGGACAAATGGGGGAATGTAAGAACCGTGAAAATCACGCATGCGACCTCTCATGTAAGGGTCGCAAGAGAGATAGAGATTCTTCACTAGGATGCCACCCGAACCTTTGGGAGCCTTCAGCTCTATTTTCCCCATCTTCATTGCCATGTCCGTCTCTTTGGGTGCTCCCTCTATGTACCTTTCCAGCACCACTTGTTTGTTCTCCGCCGTCACCATCCCCTTGCCGGCGAATCTCCGAATTCAATCGAACTCTCAACTCTGCGAAATGCCCAACTGTGCTTTTAAATGGCAACGATAGGCAATTAACTCCGCCCACCAAACTTTTGCAACCAATCCATCAATACTCACATTTGTTTCTTTGCTTTTGCTTGTATTCGCCTACACCAGTAAATCTACCTACCTCCATCCATCACTGTTACTTTAAAAATTCAATTCCTCCGTTTCAAAGTTGCTATTGTTTCATAAAGGGTAAATTACAAATTTCATCACTTAATTTTAACTCCACTCTTATGTTGGTCAATAAAATTTAGTAATTTTAATTTAATCTCTGAAAGTTTGAATTACTCTCATTTTGATCATTTTATTGATAAAAAATTAAGGAAGTTATGATATAATAGAAGACAATAAAATTACATCATTTTGAAAATATTAATTTACATTAAAACGATATTTTTTGTATCTCTTAAAATCATTTTTTCTCTTTTCTTCTTTATTCTTTTTCTCTATTTTTCTCTTATCTATCTAGATTTTGACTATTGTTCATAGCAACTGGCCATCGACATCGATCAATGGGTTCCAAAATTTTTAACTATCCGTCTTCCTAAATGTGAATTTAATATCTGTTTAATAGAAAAACACCTCAAATTTTATAAATCTAATGTTGAATATTTATGTTTATTATTTTTTCCGTATGTTGTTGGATTGAGTAATGAAAATATACCACTTCGTTTCTCAAGATGATTTTTTATCATTGGAATCTTCAAATAGAAACTCCGACCTTCATAGATCCACCAAAGTCGATAGTTGACTTTTTCTTGATTTATTTACATTTTCTTTCCTAAACCTTCAAATTTAACCCCAAAACTTTGTTTTTACTTAAACCTCATTTGTGTTATAAGCTTTGAAAAGAGTTGGAAAGAAGAGGGGAAACCCTATATTTAATTTTATTTCCACCCTTTAGTAACGCTCTATAAATTCATGTAAGGTCCCCCACCAAGTCTATTTTAGCGCACTTAATGCAAAATCTATGAATTCATAGTCATTGATCCGTTTGACAGACCTTAGAATAAAATTTATTTTAGCTTCTAATGGTTGAGATTGGATGGATGTTTGATGAATGGTAGGTTTGGAATGACAGCGGAAGAATGGGAACAACCCAAACGATGATTCCCATGACAGGGTGATCCATGGAGAATATAATTTAATAAAGAATTAATATTAATAAAATATTAGTTGGTATGTATATAAATATTTAAAATTAATAAAAATATCATGTCATTTTATAATTATAAAGATAACGGTCGAGTAATTAAAAATACTAAAGTTCTGTTTGGTGTGGTTTTCTAAAAGAACTTTTAATTAAAAGGCCCATTTTGTTGGAAATAAAACACTCACACAAATAACTTTTATTGAAACTCAAACAAATATTACAAGAGCACTATCACTCAAAAACAAGAACTACAACTCACTCTTATAAGACTATGCTTCTTCACTCACTTAGAAGCTCTTAATTTTTCTTGATGCTTAAACTAAAATGGGGATGAGTATTTATACTACTCAAGAACAATCCTACACCACACACATAAAATAATTTAAACCATTAAAGTCTACAAATACCTAACTCTCACCTAACTAAATTGATGTAAGCAATGGCATCTTCATCTAATTGATGTAAGCAATGACATCAATTTAGTTTGGGTTTGGGTTTAGGCTCCCATAATGGATCAAGTTTATGATCCAACACCCCCCCTTAAACTTGATCTTGTGATTCATAGTAAGTTCCTTAATCTTGTAAAGTCTTCGCTCGTCAGTGGCTTGGTGAAAATATTGGCAACTTGATCTTGTGACTTCACGTATTCAACTTCCACATCGTTTCTTACAACACACTCCCTTATATAGTGGCAGTGAATATCGATGTGCTTGCTTCGATCATGGAATACTGGATTCTTTGCTAAGGCAATGACTGACTTGTTATCGACACAAACCTTGGTAGGCTCTTTTTGTATCAAACCTATCTCCTTTAATAGATTTCTAAGCCAAATTGCATGAAAAACGCATGAGGTAGCAGCAACATATTCCGCTTCACAAGTGGACAATGTGACAATAGGTTGTTTCTTTGACATTCATGTGAAAATAGTATATCCCATGAAAAATACGAATTCGGTAGTGCTCCTTCGATTATCTATGTCTCCACCCCAATCACTGTCGCTATATCCAATAAGCTTGTAATCATTAGAAACTGAATAGAACAAGCCAAAGTCAATTGTACCTTTCAGATAGCGAAGAATTCTCTTTGCGACTTTAAAATGGGTGGTTGTTGAAGATTCCATATAACGACTAACCAATCCAACTGCGTGAAGAATACCAGGCCTCGTGCAAGTTAGATAGCGTAGACTTCCCACCAAACTTTTGAAGAATGTTGGATCTATACTTCGCCTTCTTCATGTTTGGACATCTTGATCCCGTATTCTGTCGATGTGTTTATTGGCTTACAGTTCTCCATCTTGAACTTCTTCAGGATCTCCTTTGCATAGCTTTCTTGTGAAATGAAAATTTCATCCTTTTGTTGCTTAACTTCAATGCCAAGGTAGTACGCCATGAGCCTCATGTCTGTCATCTCGAATTCCTTCATCATCACATCATTGAATTCATTATACATGCTTGGGTTGCTTCCGGTGAAGATCAAATCATCCACGTAGAGGTACATGATCAAAATATCTCCATATTTGATCTTGATATATAGAGCGTGCTCGTAAGGACACTTGTTGAAGCCATTCTCTTGGAAGTACTTGTTGATTCGGCTATTCCATGCCCTTGGTGCTTGTTTTAGCCCGTAAATAGCCTTCTTCAACTTCAACACCTTGTCTTCGTGCCCTTTGACTTCGTAGCCTGATGGTTGCTGAATGTAGACTTCCTCTTCAAGAACTCTATTTAGGAAGGTAGACTTTACATCCATTTGCTGTATCTTCCACTTGTTTTGAGCTGCCAAAGAAATGATTAGTCTGATAGTCTCCAATCGAGCAACAGGAGAAAATACCTCATCATAGTCAATTCTAGCATTTTGACTATAGCCTTTAGCAACTAGCCTCGCCTTGAGCCTTTCAATCTCTCCTTTGGCGTTTTTCTTTGTTTTGTACACCCATTTGACACCTATCACCTTATGTATCTTGGGAAGTAAGGTAAGTTCCCATGTGTCATTCTTCTCGATGGCCTTGATTTCTTCGTCCATCGCATCTCTCCATTTCTTTTCTTGTACCGCTTTTTGAAAGCTCTCTGGTTCACAATCGGCAAATAAACAAAATAATGTAAGATTATCTTGTCGTTCAGTTACCTCATCGAGATCTCTAAGGCTTCTTGTACGTTGCACAACTCTTTCACTTTGACTTCTACTTGACGATGACGAAGGTGATGAGTCTCCTTGAGTGGCTGATGTTGGTGAAGTGGGTGGAGTTTCAAGCTCTTGTTGAGGTTCACCTAGTTGTTCCCTCATTGTCTGCTCATCTTCTTCAAACCGAGGAAAGAAATTTAAGTCATCTGTATGAGAGTTAAAATCTCATTCTCATTCTTTGTTAAAAACCACATCTTGACTAATCACAATCTTCTTATTGTCTGGATTGTACAGCTTGTAGCCTTTAGAATTTGCATCATAGCCAATAAAGATAAAACTCTCGCTTTTATCATCAAGCTTCGTTCTTTTCTCGTCTGGTACGTGAACATGGGCTATACTTCCAAATGTTCTCAAGTGGGAAATGCCAGGCTTTCTTCCACTCCATGCCTCTTGTGGTGTCTTTCCCCATACACTTCTTGTTGGAGACCGGCTTGTCAAGTAGACTGCACACGCTACTGCTTCCGCCTAAAATTCTGTGGGTAGTTTCTTGCTTTTGAGCATGCTTCGTGCCATGTCGATGATTATTCTGTTCTTTCTTTCTTCCATACCATTTTGCTGAGAGGATCTAGGAACTGTCATTGGTCGACGAATTCCATTTGCTTCACAAAACTCTTGAAACTCACTGGAAGTAAATTCTCCTCCTCGGTCGGATCTCATGGCTTTGATCTTTCTACCACTTTCTCTCTCCACTGCTGCTTTGAACTTCTTGAAGACTTCGAAAACTTCTGACTTCTGTTTCAAGAAATATACCTAGGTTTTTCTTGAAAATCATCAATGAAGAGAATAAAATAGTTACTGTTACCGAGAGAGCTTGGCTTGATCGGTCCAGACACATCGGTATGGATGAGCTCAAGTGGCTTCTTGGCTCTTGGCTCTGACTCCTTTGGAAAACTTTTCCTGAATTGTTTCCCTACTAGACACCCTTCACAAAGCTGGTCAGGATGGTTGATACGAGGTAGTCCCTTCACCTTCTCCTTCTTAGATAGCAGCTCTAGACCTCTAAAATTGAGATGCCAAAATCGAAGATGCCAAAGCCATGATGCACCTTTGTAGCAAGCTTTTAGGAACTTTGCAACATCATTTTGTATGTTGATCAATAACATTCTATTATTTGACATCGACACTTTAGCAATGAAGTTATTCTTATCATCTTTTATAGAAATATTATAATTATTCATATGAATATTATAACCTTTCTCTACCAGTTGCCCTAAACTTAAGATGTTACTTTTCATATTGGGTAAATAGTAGACATTTGAAATAAATTGATGTCTCTCATCTTTTAAACGGATAAGAATGTTACCTCTCTTTTTCACTGTTATTGTGGAATCATCTCCAAACGAAACATTTCCGCTTACTGACTCGTCTAGCTCCACGAACATGTCTTTCCTTCCACACATGTGATTGCTTGTACCACTGTCAAGATACCAGGAATTTGTTTTTCCACCATCAGTTTCCTTTCGTTCTAGAAGAAGAGTTTCTTTGCCATCTGTATTTTCCTCCACATAGTTGGCCTTCTCCTCAAATTTGTTGTTAGGAGATCTATATTCTGAAGCATAATGCCCAAACTTTTGACAATTATAACATCGAACTTGAGATTTATCATACTTTGAGTTCGGATTGATTCTTCCATGGCCTCGTGTTGAGCTTTCTCCTTTCTCATAGTTGTTGTTGGAATTGTTGTTGCTGTAATTCCAACCTCGTCCACGACCTCGACTTCTACCTCGTCCATGGCCTCTGCCT